TTCGTAGCAGTTACCACCAGATCCGCGTTGCCATAGAGGATCAGCCGAAGACCGCTTTTCGGTCGTGCTTCGGCCACTACGAGTTCACGGTGATGCCATTCGGTCTCACCAATGCCCCAGCCACCTTCCAGACGGCAATGAACGACATCTTCAGGGACATCCTTGAAGAATACGTTCTCGTATACCTGGACGACATCTTGGTCTACAGTCGTACCTTAGAAGACCATATCAGACACCTCCGCGATGTCCTACAACGCTTACACACGCGTGGGTTCTATGCCAAGCTCAGTAAGTGCCGCTTTGCCCAGCGCAAAGTGGACTTCCTAGGACACCATGTGTCTGACCAGGGTCTCCACATGGACGACGTGAAGATCACTGCTATTGCAGAGTGGCCCGTCCCCACATCTGTCAAGCAGCTTCGCAGTTTCCTAGGCCTCACCAGCTACTATAGTAATTTATCCAGGGATACGCTAGGTATTCCTACGTCCTTACTTCTACCCTCCTCCGGAAGAACCGACCGTGGTTTTAGACACCCCTGTGCGAGGACGCCTTTCGCGCCCTCAAGAAGGCGGTAACCTGTGCGCCAGTTCTTCGCCTTCCCGATTTGGATTGTCCCTTTATCGTCACCACCGATGCGTAAGATTTTGCAGTAGGAGCTGTCCTTTCTCAGGTGTTTCCCTCTCCTCCAGATTTACCTTACCCCCATGTTCCTCCTCCCCCCCCCCCTCCTGCTGACACTGCTTCTCGACTGACGCCTACCCTCCCACCACTTCCCTCCACTGACAGTCCTCCTGTTACTTACTCCCTGACCATCGGGGAGGATGGGACTGTCGAGGCTCGTGCTGGGGATTGCCCGATCGCTTTCTACTCCCGTCAGCTACTGCCTGCCGAGATAAACTACACTGCTGATGAACATGAGGTTCTCGCAGTAGTTTATGCTACACGGGATTGGCGTCATTACATGCACGGGGCGGCCTTCACGGTGCGCACGGACAACTCAATTGTCCAGGCTTTCCTCACAAAGCCTAAGCTTTCCCCTCGAAAGGCACGCTGGTGGCGTGACTTATCCGAGTTCAGTTTCACCACTCAGCCCATCAAGGGTGAAACGAACTGCGTCGCCGATGCCTTGTCCCGCCGTCCTGATCACAATCAGGAACCCATCCATCTTGCTGCCATCTCCATCACCACTGTTGATCAGTCGATGATCGACGCGTATCGCCCTCAGTACCGCCACTGCCCCGATTATCGCGTCATCCACGCGACACTGCGGAGTGGCAAGACCGTTCCTTCCTACTCCCTCGGGAAGAACGACCTTGTGTACTGGCATGGCAGATCTGGTAAGCTAGAACTACGTATCTGCATTCCCTCCACTGGAAACAGCTCCGCTTCCAGACTGTAGCAGAGTTCCATGACCAGGCAGTTGCCGGTCATATGGGTTTCCACAAGACGTTGGCTCGTGTTTGCCGCCTATACGTCTGGCCGAAGTCCAAGGACTTTGTCAAAGCCTACATCCAGGAGTGTCCTACCTGCCAGGAGGTGAACAGTGCGAACCACCTTCCGTATGGGTTACTTCAACCCCTAGCCATACCTGAGGGTCGTTGGCAGTCCATCTCGATGGATTTCATTGGTCCCCTTCGCCCACCCACTAAGTGTGGTCATGATGCTATCTTAGTTGTCGTCGATCGCTTCACGAAGCGTGCATGTTTTGTCCTGTGCCGCTATCGCATTAGCGCTCGTGAGGTCACCGACATCGTCTTCGACCGAGTCGTGAGAGATCACGGCTTATATCAGAGCATCATCTCCGACCGTGACTCGCGCTTTACCAGCACATTCTGGCGACGCCTACACGAGGTGTACGGATCCCAGCTCCGCTTCTCATCGTCTTACCACCCTCAGACGGATGGTCAGATTGAGGTCACCAACAAAACTCTCGGTAATATCCTCCGAAAGTTTGTTAGGAATGACCAGCAGTGAGACTTACACTTAGCTCACGCGGAGATTGCGTACAGCCAGCAGATGGTCATTCTATTGCGACCTCGGCTACCACCCTCGCATACTCGCAGATTTCCTACGACCATCGCGGTTGCGCCCAGACACTCGTTGCCCTGCGCTTGACGACTGGATCGCCCACATGGCGGCGATTATGAAGCGCGCACACGAGAGTTTAGCAGACTCCCAGACTCGCATGGTTGCACGAGCGAACCGATCACGAATGGATCATCCATTCAAAGTCGGTGACGATGTGCTCGTGGACGCACGTCATTTACAGCTCGAAGCAGATACGCTTCGCAAGTTCAGGCGTCGTTTCTTCGGTCCATGCCGCATCCTTCAGGCCGTCGGTTCTGATACTGCCGCTAGTCCGGTCAGCTTCCGTGTAAAGCTACCGGATTACCTTCGACAGGCTCGCGTACACGATGTTTACCACGTCTCCTTGCTGCGTCCTTATCGCAGACCGTCCGAGCGCTTCGCCGGACGCCCTTATGAGCGCCCTCCACCTATCATGGTGGGCGGTCACGAGGAGTTCGTTATTTCCGACATCGTATCATGCCGAGTTATCGACGATACCCCTCCACGCATCGAGTACCTTGTGCGTTGGAAGGGCTACCCTGATGAGGAGGCTACATGGGAGCCCCTCGAGCACTTGCAGCACGCCAGGATGTTGGTGCGTACATATGATCGTGCTCGTCGTGCTGAGACATCTGCTTCTACTCAGCCAACCGACCCTCTTCCTCCTCCTCCCTCCGGCTGAGGAGATTGCTGAGGACGCGCCCGCTCCCTCTGAGGTCAGTCCTCAGCCGCAGACGGTCGCCTCCGAGCGTCCACAGCGCACTCATCGTCGCCCTTCGCGTTACGATGACTGACACTCTTATCCTCTATCTTTCCCCACTGACTCACACCATCAGGTACTCCATCATCATCTCTTCTACAGGATGTCAGCGTTTTGCGGCTCTGCTTCGACATCGACTCCACAGCTACTTCATCGACGTCATCGACCACTTCGACGACTTCAACTACTTTGGACGTGACTACTTCACGTCACCACCCTACCCTGCATACTCCCTTGCCTCTGTCGCATGATGGTTCTCACTTAGCTGGGTCTCYTTGAGTTTGGCTCTCCCTTGGTATCGCATAGGCATTGGGACCGTAGCGTTATCTTGGCTTCCTTGCTCCCAGATCTAGCTCCCTCTCCCAGTCGGTGAGTTATGTGCATGTTTCCCTCACCCACTGCCCTCATCACCTTAGCGCAGGCTATTGCATGGCTTCAGTTCGGCATAGCTCCACCCTATTCCAGGCTCCCCTTTTCATGGTCGACCCTGCATGGTGTCACCCTTTTGTCGAGCATTACCCGCCTTGATGGTCTATCTGTTAGGGTCATTGGTTTTGTTTCACTACCACTCTCCCACCTTGAGCCTGATGACCTATCCCACCTTCATATGTGACTGCCCTTAGGAGTTGCCCTTTTCCTTTCAGCACTGAGGCCACTGCCTCCAGGACTTTAGGATTGTATCATACAACATTTCATTTTCTGCTGTTAGCTAGGATATGTATTTCAGACATTTGTTTTTCTTTTGACATTATGTAGCTTAGGATGCATCGCATGGACTCCCCATGGAGCTTGCCCCGCATCCTAGATTTATCAGCTTTCTTTATTGCAGAGTTCCGCTGCTTTTGCTGATAGCGTGTTTATGGCTCTTGCGATTTATTACAGGTCTGAGGATCGTGCAACGGGCCTTCATCTGCCCTGGCCTACAGCTAGGGCCTATTTGGCTATTTGCCCAGTTCGGCTTGTGGGACCAGGGCGCGGCCTGACCCCACAGGCCGTGTGTTATTCTAGTCCTGCCCGGTACCACTGTCGGTACCAGGCCAGTCCAGTCCAGTCCAGTCAGTCCGTTGGGGGGTATACCCCAACTGCAGTTTGTTTTGTGACTCATTCCTCATTTGCACAGATTGGAGTACGTGCGTGCTGAGTCTGCGTTGGAGTTGCGCTGTCCCTTCCAGCTCCATCTCCATCTTCCCCCCATCCTCATCCCTTCGTCTTGATCCTGACGGACCGCCATCCCCGCGGGTCCGTCACAAGCGGTCTCAATGGTAGCAACCATGATGTTGGTCACAACATGCAACCCCGATGATAGTGGCAATAGTGTTGGTCATAGCGTGCTCTCTTAGTGACAACAAAAACAGTTTACGTCACCACAAGTGTTTTATGTGACATTAGTGTTTAGCAAGACTGATCAAGTGTCAGGTTTCGAGATCAACGAGATTAGAGTACAACAAACTCTAAACGAGACCGTCTTGAGCATGACAGATATACTGAGAAGAGCGGACTCGGGACTTGAGCACAATCATCAGATGTCGGTTGTAATTAACGTTTTCTCGAGTACAGGTCAGCATCATGCGAACTCGCTCAAGGACCTCTGGACAACCTACTAACCATTGTTCGATCTCTGAGTATGATATGATCTTCAGATAGGAGAGAGGGAGCTGACCATATTGACAATGATTTCATGATTTATCTGCTCGTTTTTTGCCTTGATGCGATAAAAAAAAAAGAATTCTCTCACACGATCATCGATCTTATCGTGTCAAGTCTGTCTTGAGTTTTACCTCGTGATCTCATTTGAGTCCTTATTCATCTTGTCACAACTCTCAAATTCCTAAATTGACAAACTTGTTACGTGCATGACATATTTAATTTTAATTTTATTATTTGCATGATCATTGTTGTTCTGAATCATAATAATAAAATTTTAAAACCGAAGATCATGATCGGCGTAGACCGTAATTGAAGGGTATCGCTCGAAGACGGACGCACACAACGGGAAGAGATTTGCAATAATTCATTTACTTATTATTTATTTCAAAATTGCATTAAAAATCTTGCATGATAACCTGTTGTTTTTGTGATCACCAATAGTGGTCTGATTGAAAAAAATGTGACACCCCATCAGTACCTTACAACATCGCAAGCTGTTCCGAGTAAAAAAACAGCTAGCCTAGTGACCCATTTTCGGATTCAATCTCAGCGTCTGTTGAGTGACAGTTTGTTATTGGGCTAACCTCTGCTGCACACGAAGTAGGAGAAACTTTTCATTGTGAAGAGTTGTACCCAACAGGCATCTGACCCATGGCCTAGCAGGTTGCGTCTGCTTTTGCCACTCAAACAATTGGTCAACGATCCTTAAATCCTGCTCGTGTCCAGCCTAATAGGGTAGGATACTATCCCTCCACTACTCCGACGCGGGCTTAAGTCCCGACAATGATATTTCTTGAAATACATGATTCTAACTCTCACGCTTTTTTGTGCCTCAACTGCACATATGACGCGACCGTTCTTTTCGCCACTTAAAACATGAATCGCACGACCGCTAATTTTGAATAAAATAAGTTTATATTT